CGCTAGCTTTCCCAAGGCAGACGAACTTAGAGTGGTTATTATAACCATCCGGGTTTAAATCGCGCTCAAATTGATTTGATATTGACACAATATTTACACTGAAGCTCGCAGGCGGCTATGGTAAGGGGCGTGATGACATTTCCCAATGAGGCGCCGAGTGCTGCCAATCACAACACACAGTAGCCCTGCTAACCAATCACAGCACTTTTCGTGTTTCAGAAGGCGGGCCTTCATTTGATACAGGAACTATTCGAGCCGTTCATGCCAGACTGGGGAGAGAGGTGTTGTAATAATGTAAAATATGTGAAAAAAGAATGTGTTTATCGAACAACCTAGTATGAGAACCTGTTCTAGTACACCCCCAAAACAAAATCAAGACTTTGTAAAAGAGCATAATAGGACCCCATTAATGTTTAAAGAATGTAGTCTCAAGGTAATTCGATTTTTTATCGTATTTCTTTTTGAGCTCTGTGTTTTACTAAATGGAACAATTACAGTCTGCAGTCCATTTCTGATTCTCCTGATAGTATCTGTTTGAAGTTTCAAATGTGTCTCAGTAAACACTTAAGACTGCTTGTTCCTGCTCATGTGTCTTCCAGCTAAGCATACCTTGCACCTCTATGGAAATAACAAGGAAGTGATTCACAGTAAACTCTTGACCCCACTGCATTTCCCTCTAATGCTGCAGGCTCATACTGTACAGCCTTCATCAGAGTCGTTTGGATCAGCAGAAATTAAATATTGCTTAATCATAATCCGCCTGTAAAAGATTAAACGGCGACCCCTATGGCAGTCATGTGGCAGTCATGTTTGTTTTTTACTCTATGCAAAGCAGTCAGGTCACATGACCGCCTCTGTTGTGTGAGCTAAATAGGAAGAAAGGAGAGATTATATTGTGTCAACAAGTCATAAGTCCTCCACATAGTTGGTTTCAGTTTAAAATATGGTTTGTTAAATGGCAATATGTGAATGCAATAAAACTGTGAGTGAATTAAAATACCATGTTAATAAACTAAAAAATAATTTCTTTCTTGTGACAGAACATAATGGACATATTTTATGCATAACACTGAGGTTGGTTTGCTAGCACTTCTAACCTCACTGCTACTTAATGATGCAAATTTTAGATTAGCATGTTGTCAAAATGTAGGCTGCTTATAAATGCATGTAAATAAACAGTGATGGAATCAAAGATCATATTAGGATGTATGAGGACAGGTTATAGCCTTTAGTTTACATAATTGCTTAGTCAAACATTTTGCGGTTTAGTTCTCTGGCATAAAAAAGCATATAAGTTCTCTGATTGTTTCGGTCAGTTCTATTAATGGTTTGTGACTTTGCCAAGAAATAATGTTTTAAGAAACATTTAAGTAAATACTTAAGTAGTATTTTTGTCTTAATTTCCAGTAAAACATATAAATAAAAAATGCACTCATATTCATTGCATCTTCTCTGAAAATGGGCCTTATTATCATATACAGTACAAATGTTTATCAGTTTAATTGATTTTTTTAATCCTAAGATATTTTTACGGAAAGACAAAACAGAAATCTTAATTATTTTAGCTGTATTTTAATATATAGTGTAATTTTGTTTTTAATCAAAGGATATACATTTATTTAATTGATTTGTGACCGATTGAATCTGACTAAAGACACTTGTATTTGTCTGATGTCAGTGAGAATGTCAAGACTTTGTAACAGTTGTTGATTCCACTTTGGTGAAAATGGAGGTAATTTGTATGTGCAATTAATCCTCATTCATTTCATCATCTCTTACTGTTGCCGTTCCAGCCATAAATATATAGTTCAGTCATTAAAACTCTAGATGGTGCAGGCTGACAGGTTGTTAATGTAACTGATGATATTCAGAGAGTTAAACGACTTGGCACAAGCTGATTGGTTCATGCTGCATATGCAGCCAATGAGCTTACTGCCTTGCATTTATATGGCTGGCTAGCATTCACTAGAGATTCCTGCAGCACGCTTTCAGAGTTTCTCTGAAACCCTTCACCTTCCCCAGCTCCACCTCTATAGATCTGCTACGGGTTATTTTATATGCTATTTGTGCAGCAGCAGTATGTCTTAAATACTCACGGCACATGTTAAATCTTCCGAGAGTTGTCATGATTGAACTACCTTCCTCTGGTCAGGGCCACTTGCAATGCAGCTCTCCATTCACCACTTTGGAATAAACCACAGCACAGATTTCCAAAAACTGGGCAAGACATTGGGAAAAAAAAATACCCAAAGGCTGGATTGGCCATATCTGACGCAAAAGTCCAAAATCCACCCAGTCCATGTTGACTTACAGTAAACACAGACCGTCAGAGTTTTGGCACAGAGTGGATTTTCAAAAGGAATGTTAGAGATTTGACAGATTTTGGAAATGTAAAAAATCTTAATCTGACAGAAAATCCTGTTTTCCAGTAAAAGTATAATTTTTTATAATATTGAAATAATTTTAATAAAAACAATTAAATGTAATAATATTTTTTATTATATTAATTTTATTTTTAATTTAGAATTTCTTTAGTAATATCTTGATATTTTTTAAAACTTGAAAAAAGCAATGAACAAACAAGCAAAAAATACACATAACCCTCATTAGATTTCTGCTTAAAAGAAAAAAAAAGAGCTACGAAAAAATAAGTTTAATTAAAATAACAATAATATTAATTAATATCAAAAATTATATTAAGAAAATATCAGTTAAACAACTCAGAAATCAATTAAACAAAAAGTTTATTTTATTATCAGCTTGGAGTCAGCCAGAGGTTAGGCAGAGAGCGAGTGTTGTTGGTGTGCCAGCAGTGGCGTAGAGTTTCTTCACAGCAGGTTAAAGGAGTCCAATCTCACTGTATACTGCAGGGCCACAGGTCTCTTCCACAGGGCACGTGTTTTGATGTTGCACCACAGTAGGGAAGGAATGCATGGTGGCTCGTGATCTTTCGTGGACTGAGGGATGATCTCAGAGTTGACCCAACCAGATCTCTCCTGTCGGTATGCAGGATGTCAGTAAGTGCAACCAGACGCTGACTGCTGGGTGAGGCGAGTAACGGTTTAGAGATTGAAAGAAGTCTCTTGTGCTCACCAAGGCTGCATTGAAGTTTGCAGTTGCAGTCGGGATTCGACCAACTCCAATTTCAGGGAGGGGCAGCTGGGAATTCCACTGTGGCAATGGATTTGTGGAGGGGCGTTACATTCAGCTGTACTCCAGCTGTGTCGATTTATATTGGTGACCGACAGGCGGTGAAGGGGCATCAGTGCCAGACTCGCCCACTTAAGGGAAGACTTGGCTAGGAACGTCTACATCTCCTCCTGCATAATTTGAAAACACTTTCTCATCCACTTTATTTTTTTCTTTTAAGTTCCTCGTTCCTTTAGTTTTTCCTAGAATAATCCTCAATCTTCTTCTGTCAGGTTTTTATCTGGAAGTCTTGGGTGTTTTCCCACAATGTGTTTCTTAGTGACCTCAGGGCAGCCATCTGTGATCAGAATCATCTTCTTTGGCCCACAGGGCAAACGGTTCCCCGCTTTATCAGCGCTGAAATGCCTCACAGGTGTTTGCACACACCTGCACGTCTGTACGTCTCTCTAAGGCAGAGAATATTGCTGGTTTTGCAGATTCAATGTTGCGACCGTGTTGTTCATTGTTCTGACCATGTGTTGTTTGTTTGTGGTTCCATACCCAAATGCAAAGCTGTAAAGACAGCTGATGGACCTTCTGCTGCTAGGCTTGAGTGGCATATGTTTCTATAAAGTGAATTCTGCCATACACACATTGTTCTTACAGCAGTTGTTCATTTTTGGAAAGTATGTCAAACATAAGAGGCTACTCTTGGATTATTGAGGTTATTAAATGGCAATAGGGTCAGTATGGTTTAGATTTATTAATTTATTCAAAAACACAATAATGCAACTCATACATAAAATGACGTGAATGCACCTTTTCTTTAAAAAGCATGTTTATATGTTGTGCATTAAAATTTTATTTTATTTATTCATTTTATTTTGTGGTGGCAGATGTCAGATGTCAAAATTGTCAGGGTGATGCAACTGTCCTTATATTATAATAGGGAAAAAAATTAAATTATAATTAAATAATTATAATTAATTAAATTTCCATTTAAAAATAATTTAAAATGTAAAAAGAAAACCTAAATAAATAATTTGGCTTAATTGTCATTTATATACAACAATTTTATTTATATATATGTTAACAAAAAATAAAAGAAATAATCTTAAAAAAACAACAACAACAAATCTTAGAAATTTAATTTTTGTACTGTTTCGTAAAACTTAAAAAAATAAATAAATAATACCAAAGATGTAATTATTATAATGTAATAATTACAAAATTAAAAATGTTCATTTTAATATATTATAATAATTACATCTTTGGTATTATTTATTTATTTTTTAAGTTTTACGAAACAGTACAAAGATTGAATTTCTAAGATTTGTTGTTGTTTTTTTTTAAGATTATTTCTTTTATTTTTTGTCAACACATTTATTGTGACTTATTTGTCATTGACCCAATCAAGTGACTTAACTTGCAGTCTTTGTCTTCTTATTTGTCATGTTTGGATCTTACAAAGGCTTTTTATTTTTGTTTGTGGTCACCCAGAATTTCTTTCTATTGTCCTAAATATAGATGTGGCCCCGACAAATGTGGATGCAAGCTGTGTTAATTTGCACAACCTCTGTAATCCTATGTAGAGAGTGATGCATTGTGGTCCATAGTCACTCCTGTGATGTGGTTAGTTGGAATGAGCCAATCTGATGATTACATGCACATTATGTGACTACTTGTTTTGGTGTTGACTAGGCCTAGCAGAGTCATACTGGGTTGACGTCTTGATTTAGAGTTTTAGATGAAGCAGAACTGTTAGATCATCGGGTTGTTGCCTGGACTTTATCAAGGCTGATGAAAGTCTTTGTCCTAAGAAAAGACGTCATGTCTTGACAATAGTTTTTTCTCTTTATGTTTTCTCACAGGGCTAAGTGACCCAAGCGTAGCTCCCTACCTGGGGGAGGACCACCACTCCCTCATTCCCATCATCCCTTGAGCCCCCACTCTGAAGCAGCTATGGCACCACGGAAACGCGGAGGTGGAGGGCATGGCGTGTCCTTCTTCTTTTGCTGCTTTCAGAGCAGTGACCACCCAGAGATCACCTACCGTCTGCGGGAGGACTTTGCCCTGCAGGCCATGGAGCCCGCGCTGCCCCTCCCCAGCTATGACGAGCTGGATGCCATGTTCTCAGAACTGGTGGTAGGTGCCAACTTTTAACATTTCTGTACAGTTTTATATCTGCTGGTAAGACCAGTGAATTTGACTTGTATATTGGCCAGGACAATTAATCTGCAATCATTATCATATCATATCATATCATATATCATATCATATCATATCATATCATATCATATTGATTAGTAAGCATTTTTTGTTTTAAAACCCGCTATGGTTATCACTAAACTAATATTTTGATTTGTTGATTATAGAGCTAATTAATGAAGTACCAAACCATAATTTTCCATATACTCAGTCCCTCCTTGTTTGCGCTCTAATTTAGTGTAATTAAAGAGCTGTAATTGATCCATCAGATGTGTTGTCTTTAATCCTTGCTTGAATAGAAATGGCAGCAGTGTGGCGTGTCTCTGCCTCTCTCTCTCGTTTACTCCTTCATCTCTGCCAGCTTCCACTTTGCACATCAATGGGTCCCATTGAGTGGCCTTGTGTGTTAGACTGCACTGCAGGGTAATTGCTTGTTTTTGGTGTGACCCGCTCTTAACCTCTCTTTCCCTGTACTTGGG